TCTTTTTTAATGTTTACTTATTTTTGAGAGAGACAGAAGGGGGGGAGGAAGGGCAGAGAGAGAGAGGGAGAGACAGAGTCCGAAGCAGGCTCCGGGCTCCGAGCTATCTGCACACAGCCAGACTCGGGGCTCAAACTCACAAACCATGAGATCATGACCTGAGGTGAAGTTGACCCTTAACCAACTGAGCCACCCAGATGCCCCTAAAAATTATTTCTAACGTAGTATAAGAGAGGTGGGGAGCTAGTGTGTACTTTCTGAGAAAGAGATTTTCAATGTCCCCAGTACATGTATCTTCGATGTTAAAAACTCACCTTGGGTAATACAAACTATAAAATTAAGTTTTAGTCCCTACTGAAAGTCATTATAATAAATTTTCCTAATTGTTGCTCTTTTATCCTGGAAGCATTTCAGGAGGTAGAGAGTCGTACAACCTGATGTTTACACATATGTTACAGCAGCTGTTCACCCAGGGGGTCACTCTGGTTTGTTTATGAAATGAAGACGTTCTGTAACCAATGAACATCTCCCATTGCAATTTGGTTTAATTCAGTGCACATTCAACAAGTTTTTGATTTATCAAATAAAAGTTCACATTTTCCCAAACCCTCCAAAGTACAGAGAATTTAAACTCTTCCAAAGGTAAGAAGGCTGTGTTTTCCCTCTGAGTTCTTTATCAACCGCCTTCTTGAACAATGACACGCCTGTGGTCACCTATTACCTGCTCTTCTAGCAAGCAAACTGATCAGGTGTCAAAGGACAACTCAGTCCGAAGGAATCTGGAAAGGCTGAAGTCATTGGAGGGGTCAAGAGGCTTTCCCCACAAGAATATGGTCCCAGCTTTCTAGAAGCAGGACCCTTGACATCTGCACCTTAGGTCTTCTTCTTCTTAAAAAGCAAAACCAAACAAAACAAAAAAAACAGGGACAATTATGATAACAGTTTTATATCTTTTGGCTTTTCTGGGTGCCCAAATCACACATTCTGAAGCTCTATCAAAGTAGCAAAGCTGAACAGAGAATAATCTATTTTACAATACTTTTGACTTCCACTAAAAATCAGCAATTTACCTGTGCCTTTAAAGGGAGAAAAAGAGATGCCTAGGGCACTAAGAAACATGAGTGATTAAACCCAAATACGGGTGTGTCCTGCCTACCGGTCACTCAAGACGATCAGGCTAATGGCAAACCACCTGATCTGTAGCATCTTCCTGCAGGAGCAACAGAGGCCCTATCACTGATCACAGTAGAAATGGCTCGACAGCAAGCACTGCTTTCCATAGTCTCCGTCCATTGTCTCCGTCCATAGTCTCCGTCGCTCCCTTGCCCTAAGTGCGCAGCAGGAAAGCCATTGAGTGAATTGGCCCATGTTTCCTACACTGAGAACTTTCTTTGGTCCAGTCCACATCATTTCCTCAGGGCCTCACCAAGGAAGCCGGGGGCAGGGGTCCGGCATATCACTCTCTGAGAGTTGAGAACCTAATGACAGCCTGCCTCACAACTAGGAGGAGCCAGTCAGGGAAAGGGACCGCCCCAAACTTCCTGACGCTTTGCTGCAGCCACTGGTAACGCCTGGCTGCCCCAGGACACTTCGCCCACTCAAGGAGCCCAGGAGAGGAAGGAGCGGACAGAGGGCAGAAGACTCAGCAAGGCTGAAAGGAGGA